GCAGGTCCCTCCACACCTCCCTCCCGTCGCGACCATTACCAACATCCAAGAAGTCGGTCCCGCCGTCGACTCCGACGCCACGGCCTCGTGCCACTTCCGACGCCGCAGACAGGGGAGATGGCAACTACATCCACTCTGGCTGACCCTGGGCGCCCTTGGACAGAGAGGCCGCCCGTGGTTGGGCTGTCGACCAGTTCCGGTTCGCTCCCACTGTCTCACTCGCCAACGCCCTCGTCCTCGCTGATTGATCAACAACTGTCAATTGCCCGCCTTCGTCGCCGGGGTGGGGTCGCACGAGCAATGTGCGCGATGGAGTTGTAGACCGCCCGGTGGACAAAACAAACGACAGGTTGACGCGGCCATGTCCTTCGTCTTCGCCAAGGCCAGGCCGAAGGAGTTCAGTGAACGACTGCTCGTACACGCCGCCGCCCGTCCCGCGCAGCTCCGTGGCTGTCCACTCCTGCATTGATCCGCTGCCCAACGACACGGTTTGTGGCCGTCTCTCCACCTCCTCCTCCTCGTCCGATGAGTCGGGGAGTGGTTGCAAGTGCGGTGGCAATGCATCATACCCAACCCGCTGGGAGGCCCTGCCAACGGTCAACAGGCTCCCCCCACACCGCCTCCCTCCGACCTGCTCCCCACCGGACCGGGGGATCGCCTGTCGTGCCCCCATCCTGGCGTCCTTCATCGAAGACCTTCTTTTGCGTCGACGTGGCGGCACGTTCCCAAGGATGCACACGCGGAAGAGAACCACGAGGAGCAGCAACAGGACAACGAGGATCCGCAGCGGCAGCCTGCGGAACACGTCAGCCATGAAATAGTCGACGACGACGGCAGCAAACGGAAGACAACGCGGGCGCCAACATAACATAGGAGCGCAGTGCTGCAAACGGTCGTCCCGACTTCGCAACAAACCCCCGAGGACGTCTTCTATGACGGACATGCAGGAGGCACGTGCGGAGATGGTGTGAGAGAAGGAGAGAGAGAGGAGATGGACATACACGAGAAGCAGCAGCTGAGTGAAATTCCAGTCTGGCTCCACGAAAAAATGAACAACTGAATGACTGAACCTCCCGCCCTGGGCCTAGGCCGAAGTGATATACCGGCCTGGGTCCAGTAGCGGAATAACCTGGTACCGGACCAGGGTCAGGCCAGCGGCCTGAAACTGGTCCGGCCTCACTGCCGGGCCGGAGGGATACCGCTCCACGATCCTCGGACCTGTGAATGGATCCAGAAATACATCAAAACACGCTATCCGCTGAAAGAGCGGGAACCCAAAAGGAACGGCCAAAGAAAAACAATCCTAAATGCGGAGCAAACTCCATGCAGGAAAAAGGGATGCAATGCAGACTAAGCCTCAAGCCTAATCTATAAACAATGTCTGGTCTGAGTCGACCCAAAAAGCAAAAAAATGTCTGACCTGTGTCGGCCAAGAAAGAGAAAAATGTCTGATGAGCCAAGTAGGCTGAATATAAATCAACACCATGGCCCTAAAGGCCAAAGAATATCTAAGCCAATGTCCTACGTCAAAAAGAATGTGGCACAATCTCACGTACCCTGTACACAATGCACAATGCCTGAACAGAAGAGGAAGGAACTCAGTTGCATGGCAGAGGTAGGAATAGGTGGGGAGGCGGCGGGTACGACTCTTAGAGTAAACTCCAAGGGGGCACTCGCACAACCAGGTAAGGGTCATCAGGCTCAGGGGGGGGAGTAACAGCACGACACCAGGCTCAATGGAAACCATCAAACGGGCACCGCCAACTGAAAGGGGAATGACACTCACACAAGGGAGCACGCATAAGTTGAGCCTGGCAGGAGAGAGGGCTATGTCGGCATAGACATGTGGCCCAAGAGCCGCGAGCAAAGAAAACGTACACTCCAGAGGAGGGCGCGCAGCATAAGGTAAGGCAGAAGGGCGGCAAGCGGACACACCCACATAGACAGGGGAAATGGGTCATCATGCGACTGGAGGGTAAGGATACAGGGGGATGATGAGAACTCTGTAGCCGAAGAGGTGAAGTAGTCCAACTGATGAGTCTCCAGACTGAAGTCGAATCGAAGTAGCCAGGATGAAGTAGGAGTAATGCAGAAAACCAAGTGGACGTCCGAAAC